ACAGGAGCAGCTGGTGGGTTCAAATGGCTGACTTTGTGCTTAGCACTAGCCCATGATGCCAGCAGGGCTCCTACTGGAAGTACAGACAGAAATCCTAGGAATCAATACTGTGGTAGAAGCCTCCAGATTAATGCTTAAGGGTGTTTTTAAGCTGAATTTGTAGGTAAGTTGGAACACATGCATGGGGATCTGATTTTGCCTTATTTCAGTGCAAGGAATGCATTCTGGTGGTGCTGGAGGGTCAGGGTTGGACTTCTAACCTCAAGGTTGGCATACAGCCTCACTCGCAGCTCTGCGGGAGAAAGATGAGGCTGTGTAGGTAGATGTCCAGCCTCAGAACCCCTATGCAGCATGACTATGAGCTGGAATGGACTCCATGGCAGTTGGGTTTTTTGGTTGTTGTTTTTTTTGCTTTAGTGTAGAAAAGATGCTCTGGTGGCACTGACAAAAAGGTCAGTGGTGCAAATCCCCCAGCCACTCCACAGAAGGAAGATGTGACAGTCAGCTGCCGTAAAGACTGACAGCCCTGCCAACCTTTGGGGGCAGTTCTACTCTGTCCTGCAGGGTCACTGTGAGTCAGAATGGACGCCACAGCAGTGGGTTTTATTTTAGTGCAAGAAAAGGATCAAAGTCTTTTCACTCATTAAAAACCGGCACGTGCAGCAAGTGAAGGTGATTGCCATAGAAAAATCACCTTGTTGGCATAGGAACGGTTCAATCATTTCAAAGTGTGGGCTAATTGAGTAACAGTAACAGACAAGTATTTGTCCTTAAGCCAGAAGCTACTTTCATTTGAATCCTGGCCTGGCCTCAGAGTCTTCTAGGGGAAACCCCACACCAAGAACATTTTTATATTCCGTTTTCTTTAAGATATTCATAGGTATAAAGCGCATGCATTAGACTTTCCTTTTGGTTTCAAGATTTTCCATAAGTAAAACAAGTTACATGCAAAGAGTTCAAAGGGCTTTGAGAACCGCCTTGAAGAAGTCATCAAGAGAACCATTTGACATGTGAAGCTACTTGTAATGGTTAATGTTATGTGCCCACTTGGCTTGGCCATGACTCTCAGTGTTGTGGAATTATTCTCCATTTTCTGATCTAAGGGGAGTTCCTTGGGGTGTCGCCTACATCAATATATATGGATGCTTTGGCAAAGCTTGCATCCAATTCATCATCATCGAACACAGTGGTTCTCAACCTTCCTCATGCTGCGACCCTTTCATACAGTTCATCGTGTGGTGGTGACCCCCAAACCATAACATTAATTTCGTTGCTACTTCATAACTGTCATTTTGCTACTGTGATGAGTCATCATGTAAATATCTGATAGGCAGGATGTATTTTCATTGCTACAAATTGAACCTAATTAAATCATAGTGATGAATCACAAAAATATGTAATTATATATTGTGAAATATTTATTTCTAATGACAAATCAATGAAATGTTGTCTTGAAGCATGGTGTAGCATGCGTAACAGTCTTAATATAACAACCGTCAACTACATTGCTACATTTTGCAACAGTACGGGTAAAAAAGCCAATGTCAGTGTGATAGCTTCTTTCTCACCAGATCAGCATATCTGCATGTGGGCAGACCCATCTGAAGACGGATAGAGGAGCAATGTCTCGGTTCCTAAAACCATCAGAAATCTGTGTTTTCTGAGGCTCTTAGGCAACCCTTGTGAAAGGGTCGTTCAACCCCCAAAGGGGTCACAACCCACAGGTTGAGACCTGTTGATCTAACACATGGTGCTTGAATCTATCAACCTGTTGCCTGAACAGCAAGCAATTTGTGGAATTCTCCAGCTCCTACAGCTCTACAAGCCAGCATTTCTGCCTGCTGATTTGGAGTTTATCAGACCCCGAAACCACAAGTCAGGAGAAGTTTTCAATATGAAAAAAACATTGGGTTGAGTGTGTTACAACTGATAGTGATCCTACAACACAGGGTGGAGCTTCCTATAGGGTTTCCAAGGTTGTCATCTTTATAGACGTTAGATTGACATCTCTTTCTCCCTTGGAGTGGCCTGTAGGTTTAAACTGCCAGTCTTTCCATCCATTGTTGGGCTCTTAACCACTGTGCCACCAGGGCTCCTTAGAAGATGAGAAAAAAGATGTAAGTGGCAGCAACAGAGCTCAGCAGAGAAGAGCCTTGGCTTCAATTCTTAGTTAGGCACTTGTTAGCTGTGTGACCTTGGACAAGTCATCAAACCTTTCTGACCCTTAGTTTCCTGACACCTTTAAAATAGGGGAACAGAGTGGGTGACCCTAGGTATCTCAGAGGATAACTGTGCTCCACAGGGTTTTCAGTGGCTGATTTTTTTTTAGAAGAAGATCAGTAAGCCTTCCTTCCAAGGCACCTCTCAACAAACAAACAAACTCACTGCCATCCAGTCAATGCTGACTCATAACCAACCTATAGGGCAGGGTAGAACTGCCCTTGTGTGTTTCTGAGCCTGTAACATTACCGGAGTAGAAAGCCCTGTTTTTCTCTTGAGGAGCTGCCTGATGGTTTTGAACTGCTAACCTTGCAGATTGCAGCCCAATGCATAACCAGTACACCACCAGGACCCCTAAGACATCTCTGGGTGGACTCATTCCTCCAACCTTTCAGTTAACTGTTTGCACCACCCAGGATGTCTGTAGTCATGCAATGGATTTGACTCAGTGATGACTGGTTTACCCATAGAGTTGTGGGTATTCAATAAAATAACATCAATTTAGAGTAATGCTTGCCATGATGACCTATGAACAGCTCAATGGCCTACCTGTTTATTGACCAAGGATCCAGACTCCATTAAGATGCCCTCACTGTGAAACAGAAGATCCAACTAAGAGTTGGCTCACATAGTAATGGCATCCATTATGACCTATAGCAAGAATAAGTAGCAGCTGGTGGGGATCACAATAGAAAGTCCTGATTGGAGTGAGGGGGAATTGTGGAACAAAACTCAAAAGTCATTTTTAAAAAGAGATCAGAATTACTGGTCTGATAGAGACTGGTGGAACGTCCAAGTTCCATCGCTTAAACCTCCTTCAAGCTTGAATTGAACTCATCCCTACAGCTCAGCTTTCAACCAAACAATAGACATGCCTGGAAGGTGAACCAGGGAGACTCACACTCCTTATAACTGCTAACCATTTGAGACCCAGAGGGCAGCATTTGCCCAAGGTGGCATTTGCTCAGAAGACAGAAAGGGACAAGGAAGAACAATTAAGCAGAAAAGGAAACACCAGGAGGAAGTGGGAAGGGTGCTGGTACATTGTGCAGACAGCAATGAATAATTAATTTTCTCTGTCCACATTTGCCCACCCCACCATACAAATTTTTTTGAAAAGGAGAGAGAGGAGAAACCACTCTGTAGCAAGAATCTCCCCTATCCTCACTTCTCGCATTTCATTGGCCAGAACGAACATTTATGCCCAGTTAATAATCATGAATCAAGCTTATAATTCAGATGAGTCTCTTCTTTCTCCATATTCTGCATCATCGTATTATTTCTAACATGAGTTTATAGGCGTGCCAACTAGCTGTCACCAAGGAGCAAGCAATCACAAGCTTAACTACCCTGGCTGGGCCCTGCAGATCTGAGCTGAGCTCACAGATGTGTCATTGGGTTAGCTAATAGAGGAGGAGGCTTTGAGAAGCTTGTGGAAAAACGGAGTTAAAGAACAATGGCATTTTCCCACAAACTTTTTGAAGCCTCCTCCTACGCTAGACAGGAGCCCTGGTCACATAGTGGTTAATTCTTGGGCTGTCTTCTGCAAGGTCAGCAGCTGGAACTCACCAGCCACTCTGCAGTGGAAAAGATGGGGCTTCCTATCCCCATATAAAGAGTTATACCCTCAGAAAACCACATAGGGTCACTATGAGTCGGCATGGACTCAGTGCTAGTGAGCTTAGGGCGGGAGCATATACTAGGCTCAACTGAGTGGCTGTACTTCAAGCTATCATTCTGCAAGTCGACCACTTCTATCTGTTACATCTGTCCTTCCTGCTCCTCCTTGGACCACCACTGCTAGCTAAGATATGTTTTTTCATGTTTATGATAGAAGCCATGATAGTGCCCAAAGTCTAGGCTTGAAACGGGCAGTCTCCTACTTCTGCTCATATGCCACGGGCAAGCCCCGTATCCAAGTCCAAAGTCAAGAGACAGGGCTATCCATACACTCTGCCTGCCATGAAGTCACAAGGGGGTCTTCGGGGGAGAAAGTGAACAGGGAGCAATCATTCATTCCGCCATAATAATGGGATGGTCCAAACAAACAGCACATCCAGAATGGATTCTCTGAATTCCATAACATTTGTGCGTCGGCCATCAGTGCCTGCACCGTTGGGTCATTGTGCTACAATGTCATCTTTGCTCCCACATCAAGGACGATTTGCAAATGAGCATGAGAGATTCGTTGTCAAATGAAGGCCTTGTCCAAGGACTTGATGACTGTCCTGCTCTGACACCCAACGACTGGAATTTTGTGGAAGAAAGCACAGCAGGGTATTCAAAACATCCACAAGAAGCACCTTGGTACTTTCATCACGAACCTGCACCCTGGCTCCTGCTTGATTTCTCAACTGAAGTTCTTAGGTGCTGGGGGCAGGTGCCACCAAAGTCCTTTGGGGGACTTAAACTCACTGGCGGTCCTTGGTAACTGACAGGAGAGAGCTGACCTGAATCTGAGAAACAGAGGGCGCAGGGGATGCGCGGGTCCTGATGGAGGCGGGTCCCAGCCAGAGGTGCTCCGCCCGCCCTCGCTGGCTCGCTGGCTCGCTGGCTGGGGTCCGCCGCTCCAGCCGAGGAGCTCAGCGCTGGTTCCAGCGCCCTAGCCTCCCCTGAGTCGTGCACGCCCCACGGCAGTGCGCGGACCCAGGGCTGCGGGACAAGCGGAGCCCCAAGTGACTGCAGAGCGACGGGCAGCGGCCCTGCTGCAGCTGGATCCCTCCCAAAGGGGCGCAGGAAGAGGAGCAGGAGACCGCGACTGCTGGAGGCCCCTCGCCAAGATGCAGCCGCCCTGGGGCTTCGCGCTGCCGCTGCTGCTCCCCTGGGTGGCAGGGGGACTAGGGAGCGCGGCCAGGTAAGTGGCCCCTTCTTTGGGGTCTGGGTTCCTCCAGGCAGCCCTGCGCCCGGGTACTTGTGTGTGCCTGCGCGCGCTGCCCCGGGTTTCCGCAAGGCTGCGAAACTCACAGCGCACCGGGGCTCTCCTCCCGCGCCCCTCCAGTGGGTCTTTGCACCCTGTGCCTTTGGCCTCCGCTGTGCCTGGCCGCAGCCAGCGGCCGGCGGGGGACCTGGGAGAAACCGGGTGCTGTGCTCGCAGGCCTGTGCGTGGTGCGATCTTGGTGGTCTGCAGACCTGGACAGCAGGGGCAGGTGTGGTAGGGGGTGGTGTGGGCGGGGGAGACCTGGGAGAACCCCCATCCTGGGAGGCTCCAGCTGGTGGTCCGCTGCTGGTGTGCTGTGGCAGGAAGGAAAGGCCCAGGAGATATTGCCCGCGGCCAAGGGAGCCTCCCTGCCCTGCCGCCAGGCTCCTCCACTCGCTGCCCCTCTGCGGAGGGCTGAGGAGGAGAGCGCAGGTCCCAAGAAAGCGCCTGGAGCTTCTCCTTAGCAGCAATTCCATTTGGATTGGAATGCCAAGCCGTTTCCTTGCTAGCCATCAACTTTTCGAAGCCCTGAAAAGGACTTCTCCAGAAACTTAGTTTCAAAGAAGGAGCCCTGGTGGCATAGTGGTGACAAGCGGGCTGCCAGCGGAATGGCCAGCAGTTTGCAACCACCACCAGTTGCTCTTCTGAAGAAAGATGAGGCTTTCTAATCCTCTTAAGATGTACAGTCTGGGAAAACCCCGGGGGTGGTTACCTTGTCCTATAGGGAGGGTCATGATGCGTCCGCAGGGACTTGATGGCCATTAAGTGTTGATTTTGCAAAGCAGCTGACTTAATAAGCACCCACTTATATAGTGCTCTGGGGGTTGGCACTAAACACTTTGGGATATTAACCCATCTTGAACTCCTAACAACGCTAAGTGGAAGGGACTATGGGGGAGGGGGGCGAGGCACAGCCAGTAAGTGCTGGAACCAACCTGGATCCAAACGCAAGCAGTCTAGAGCAGAGCAGTGTTCTTGTTCTGAACCAATACAGTAGGGGGCTGCTGGTGAAACGCCCACCAGAGAAGGCTTCCTACAGCTGTGGCTGCTATGTCCTGTGTGTTGTTCCGAGGTCGACTGTGAGTGTTTTACCACCTGGCATTGTTAATCTTTAGAGCTGACAAGGGCAGAGTACTCAGTCAGGAAGGTAAGCACAAATCAGTCCGTGCTTACCTTGCTAGCCCTGTCAAACAAAGAAACAAACAAAAACCCAGAATCACTGCTATTATGAGTGAAACAATAGGACAGGGTAGAATGACTCCATGTGGGTTTCTAAGGCTTTCACTCTTAATTGGGGAGTAGAAAGCCTCACTTTTCTCCCACCGAGTGGCTAATGGGTTCAAACTGCTGAACTTTCAGGAAGCAGCGCATCTGATAACCACTCTGCCACCAGGGCTCTTTTGCCCCGGTCAGGGATTGTAAATTTGAAAGGGGGTTTTGATTCTATAGGAAGTTGCTGTAGGAGAGAGAGAGAGAGAGAGAGAGAGAGAGAGAGAGAGAGAGAGAGATGCCAGCCACAGCAAAGACTTTGATGTGGTGAAAACATGTGAAATCATTCACTACTGATCAGTAAGTAAGGACAAGTCATCTTGTGCTTACCTTGCTCATGAGGAATCTGACCCTGGGCTGGAGCTTCCTTGTTGGGATGGGGGCTGCCCCGTGCACTAGAGGATGTTGAGCACGCTTCCTGGTCTCTACTTCTGAGATGCCAGTAGCACCCACCCCCCAAGTTGTGACAACCCAAACTATCTATGGACATTGCCAAGCGTTCCTTGGGGATTTGGCAGGGTGGGCAATATCACCCCCAGCTGAGAACCACTCTGCTAAAGGGATTCTGGGGCAGAGCAGGATGAGGGCCTCCTGAAGGGGAGCTGCACTCTCTGTTTGACTTAACAGGAAAATATCTTTCATCAGAGTCAGCCAAGGTATTAAGGGATTCTGCAGTTCAAACAACACAAACCTCAAACCAGGTTCTTAGACTGTATGGTCACAAATTTCAATTTCCTTTTCATGATAAAAACATGAGCAGATGCTGCTCGCTCCTAAGCACGGTTTCCTTGAACACTGACTGTTCTCGTTTGTTAGCAAGTCCGCTGAAGACAGACCAAATTGCTATTTGGAGATGGGATTAATCCTTCTTCAGCCGTCAGCAAACAGACCTCCAGGAGCTCCACTTTCAATGAAATGCCAAAAAAAAAAAGAAAAGAAAAGAAAAGTCAGAAAAAGCCTCTAAATCAACCACAGAATATTGGACTAGAGGATCCGGGTCAAGATTCTGCCTCTGTAGTTTTCAAGACATGAACTCAGGGCTTCTTGGTGAGGGTCTCAGGTTCCTGAGCTGATTGCTTATCTGCCCCAACCTGCTCCCAACTGGCAAGGGGTCTTCCCTTCGGAAACTGCCCAGCAACTGTGTCATCAGCTCCAGACTCCAAGCCACCACCCTCAGCACATTTATAGAGAAGGTATGCACTGCTGAGCAGGGTATTTCCTGAGGTCATTTCCTGGGGTTTTACCATTTATAATAAAAGAGGTGATGTCTCATGTAGGTACTAGAGCCCTCAGTGGCTCAGAGGGTTAAGCCCTTGGCTATTCACCAAAGAGAGTCAATGGGCGGGGGGGCCGGCATTAGGAAACGAAAATCCTTCCCTTCCAGCAATCTAAAATAAGTCTTGCTGCATGTCCTCGAGTCAATTCCACCTGCTAGGGACCCTGTAGGACAGAGTGGAACTGTCTCATGGAAGCAGTGCACCAGGCCTTTTCTCTCATGAAGCAACTGAGGACTTTGAACTGCCAACTTTTCTATTAGCAGCCTAGCACTTAACCATTGAGCTACCAAGGACTTTGACCCAAATAGACAGAACCTGAATCTACATTTTCACAAGTTCCTATGTATTATGGGTTCCTAGAAGAATCACCTGATGGTCCTTTTTCTTTCCAAAACATATAGGAGCTAATCCAAGCAGCATCCTATTCCATAGCTAAATCACATCAAGTAGCATTCTATCATTGCTATCAAAATCAGGTTCAAAACATCGTCTTCCTTCCTTGATGTCAACTCTCCCTTAGCCACCCCCTCCCCTAACATACTGCTCAGGAACTCTTATTCTAGTTGTTCTCTCTAGAATTCAGTGGTTCTCAACCTTCCTAATGCCGCGACCCTTTAATACAGTTCCTCATGTGGTGGTCACCCCCAACCATAAAATTATTTTTGTTGCTACTTCATCACTGTCATTCTGCTACTGTTATGAATTGGGCGACCCCTGTGAAAGGGATTGCAACCCACAGGTTGAGAACCACTGCTCGAGCTGTTCATCCATCCTGGGTTCCTTATACCGAAAAAATATAGAAAAACACATAGCAGAGATTCAAGAAGGTTACCAACAATGACAAAATAGAACAGATAAAACCCAATACGAGGTTGGGGGGAGGACACATAGAAAATTCTAAAAACCAGATTAAGCCCAAAGTGTATCAGAGGGGAGATCAAGTGACAAGGTTTTAACCATTCAAGTCAGGTTTATCATTTTGATCTCCTATAGTCATCTCCCCAATACACTGTGTCTGGTCACCAGTTTATTCTCCTTCTTCAATTATGGTTAGAGGGGAATCGTGCAAATGTATTTTGGGCTTCTTCTGTCATCCACAGCCTTCTGCAAACCAAAATCTCACAAATCAAGCTCTGATACTATTCCCTCCTTCGGATTTTGATTATATAATTTACAATCCTTAGGTCACGGATGTTGGTGTGTTTCTTCCATGTGAAATTAGTTGATGTCTTACTTGGATGGCTGCTTCTTTGGAAACAAGCCTTTAAGACCTCAGACACTATTTTATCTGATAGCCGGGCACCATCTAATTTCTTCACCACACTTTGCTATAGCACCCATATTTTCTGTGTTTCCTTCATGAAGGTGAGTATTGAGCAAGGTCATCATGTAAGAACTAATTGTTCTTAGATTTGGAGCTAGGATTAAGTGTGAGCCCCAAATCCATTTCAGGATCTATGTTTTTTTATCTTCCTCTGGCTCCTGAGAAACATTCTTGCTCATTTATGGTAGAGAATCTTATCAGTCATCTCCCTGGAGCATGAGGACCCTCTATTAATAGTGTCATTGATTAGTCCATGGTACTAATTTTTAAAACATTATTGAGAGAGGGGGATTGAACAAGTGTGGGATAATTATATATCATAATACCTGAATTATTTACTTGTACAGAATAGATCATTACATGGCTAGACACCATGTATACAAACAATGGGAATTGGTTGTCAGGCAAAACTTACAATAACGTTCATTGACAATGTCAATCTCAGGTGTGCCAGAATAATACATATCTTTATACAGCAAGTAGGGCATTGAAGTAGTAGATACATACTGGTCCATCTACTGACAGTTCAATATATTCGGTACAGCTGTCTTCTGCTTCTTCACACATCATGTAATTTCAATCTTAAGTCCTCAGGTTACTGATATGTTTGAGGCAGAGTCTAGTTCACCTAGTAGACTTTCCACATCAGATCCTGCTGGTATGACCCTTGGAGTGTGTTGTGCACTTTGAATATCCAGGCTTCAATGTCCCGGTGTTCTAAGGCACTTGGCCTGGGCCCCCAGGGGGTGTACAGGAACTCGGGCCAATGTCACCTATTTCACCTGAGGATGTTATGACAATGTAGCTTCTGATTCAGTCTATCTGGAGTCAAAAGGCCACTTCTTCTCAAGGGGTCAAACCAGAATGAATCAGTTCTAAGGCCTGAAAGCAATGAGAAGTCCATCTCTCTTCCCTCCTTAGCAACTTCCTGAAAGTTGCACGTGACACTTATGCCTACATCTCATTGGCCAGGAATTAGTTACATGGTCTCATGTCACTAAAATGTATACTGGGAAATGTGGTTAGGTAACAGAAGTTGGAAGGCTCAGAAAGAAGGAGGAAAGAGA